AAAAATATGTTTGTTTACTGTTACATGCCGAAATAAAATAGGGCCGATAGGTAGGATTTTTTTTATTTTATAGAATTTTTTTATACACAAATTCAAATGAATTGGTTGGAAAACAAGACAGTTTTACCATTGTGTGGTGCTTTACTTTTGTTTGGGCTTGCCATATGGCAATATCTTTCTTGCCAACTGCCTTACAGCTATCACACAATGAAAAAAATGTCTTGTATTTCTTCTTTAATTCCATGTTGCACTAACTATTTCTAGTACTTTCGATTTCAAACGCTTGACTGATTAAGATGCATGTAAAAGTTAAACCGACGAATGAGTGACTTCTGGATTTTTACGACGAAAAAAAATTTGGGTTGCCTATTAGATATAGGGTCAGTCGGATAACTGTAAGCAAACATATTTTTTTATTATGCCTTACCTCTGATGAAAGAAAGGAGGGAGAACATAATATAGGGCCTTCTACAGAAGCATTAGGAAAAACCTCAGTTATAAAACATTTTTTTGCATTTGTTTGAGATTGGCATGATTCAATTCCCACTACGGTTATTTCTAGATATTTGTGGCTTTTCCACATTGCATCTTTTTCCATTTGCTCAATTGCTAAGAGAAGTGTTGCACAACTTTTCATACAAACAGGGTTTTCTAAACATTTTGATCGTGATCATAAAAAATTTTATGACCAGGACTTGGGAAGGGCCTATATTGTGCTATATGTGCATACTGCCAAAAAATGGCCCAATGCATTGATGCACTGATGCCATGCAGCACAACACACATTGTTTTCTACTTTGTGAAGTTCATATCAGTCTGCTCTATCGGTACAGTATTCATCGTCGAAGGTAGATGGAATCTGTAATGTATCATATTAAAAAATTGGAACCGACATTCAACATATTTTACATCCATTGGCAAAGAAATGTTAAGTCATTTTGGATGGCTTACCACAGATTTACGAAAAAATTTTTACCTTACAATGAAAAACCACATCATCGAAGTTTTTTTTTATCTTTGCCTGTCCCTTGATCTCTAAATCGACAATTTAAAAAAAGTGTGTGTTTGGTTTAAATGTAATTTCCCTAAATACTTGCTGTGGTAGATGACGAATGATTTATGAATTTCTTAGAAACAGAAAAATCACTTTTGCTAGTCAATGTCGAATGATTTGTCAATTCCTATGGCATTCTTTTGCAACTTAAATTTAGGTGTCAAAGATACATGTATATGCATTATTATTAGCACAAAACTATGACATATTTTAGAATGACCTGAATATATTTCCTCTAGACCCCTTAAATTTCAAAATGACCCCGGTTAGTGGCTATAAATAACAGGGCCATTTGCCCGCATCTGTTGTTTTACCTTCCCAGGCATTGTATAACAACTTTTTTTACGCTTATAAATAATTGAAATTAAATACAGGTACATTGATATTTTCGGAATTTCCCATATTTAACATGACAAGGATCACGTCAACACATTGCTGTAAAGATCGCTGTATTTAAAGAGGTCTATATGCTGTTTGTTTGATAATTAAATGCATTAAAGTTGACAGTTTGTCAGTTATAATGCTATATTTTCTCACAATAAGCTAGCTTACAATTAAAAAAAATATCTTCTTTTAGAAATATATGTATAAAAGTTCCCACAGGTAACAAGGACTTCCTGTGTATACTGTGTGTGTATAGGTATTAACACCATACACGATCAGCCTCTGGGAAAAACTTAGTCCCTCCCCTCACTAGAGAAAACTGTTCGGTTAAAAATATCAGCCTTTAAAACTGGTAGCTGATGAGGCTACTAGTTCTAAAATGGTAGTGGCCCATACTGATTTTTAACAGCTGGTATTACAGGCACTTGTTTTGGTAATAAATTTTTCAACCCATAGTATGATGATAACACAAGGTATCCAACTCCATATTACATTGAGTACCCCCCCCCCCTTCCCCAAAATTGAACTTATTTACACTTTCAGAGGAAATGCACTGGCAAACTGTTTATTACCATTGTCCTCTACGATAATTTATCTACACAACTATCTATGACATGTTTGTCTTATTTATTTTCTTTTATTTCCGTAAACAGTGTCAAAACTCTGCTCGCCGAGTGCAAAAGTCGACTTTCTTGTCTAGTCTAACTTTCAAGATAAATTTGTTGTAAAGTAATTAAAACTAATCTTTTAGTATATAATATAATTAAAACTAATTTGATATTGTATATTTAACAAGTAATCAAAACTAATTATATAAATACATATATATTGTATACGCAGCTAGGTTTAGGACTCCCATACTTACATCAGCCTATATGCAGAGCTTCTGGAAATCGATTATGACGTCACAATGAAACTGAACAAATAAATCCTAAATACTAATGTTTTCTTTTTCATACACACTCAAATACAGTCTTTTCTCATAACATGATAAATATTGTAAACATAAATTGATGTGTAACTTATCATGTCATAATAATACTATTTGAATGTAGAATTTAAGCCACCTTGACCTTCCTGCACTGACTAAGATGACGTCACACCCTAGTTTGACAGACAGTTTCTCTGTACTTGAGGCGTAGATCAAGCTATTATTGTAGCTTGTAAATATCAAATTAAAATAAGTGTGATCAGACCAAAATTAAGTCATATTTTTGAATGTATTAATCAATATTTTATAGTCTAATTAGGCCTAAAAAAATTGTTTGCTTCCTGTAACATTTCCAAAAAATCAAGGGTCGGTAGGTCGGGATTTTTTTATTTTTTTTTTTTTTATTTTTTTTTTTTTTTTTTTTGCTTATGGATGAAAGGGTCAAACATCCCCAGACTGAATTTACCAGGTGTGATATATAAAGTGGACACGCAACATGGCTGCCTAGTGGCAGAAAACAAACTTCAAAAAGTTGTGGGTGGAAATTGTTGTTACAATAATGATTACTCTTTGTATTCAAGGTAAATGTTGACTAGGATGACATATTTTATATCTCAAATAAAGCTACAATTAATATTTTTTGAATAAATGGAATCAGCTGATCGATCGAACCAAAGAGCAAATGCAGATTTGGCAGAAAAAAAAATTCGCCCGGGGGTAATTTGAATGGGTCGGTCGGGTTACAGGAAACAAACTTATTTTTTTAGGCCTTAAATTGAAAATGTGTAGACCTTATATAAAGCCACAATAAGGCACATTTATACATTAACAATCTAGAATAACAGGCACAGCCCCTCGAAAATCTCAAAAGTTCAACAATATCTGTTTCACTATAATTTATGAATTTTTATACAAAGGTATTAACATCCCTACTATTTTGAAAAGTGCCAGGAGCTGGTTGTGCGCTGTTGCTTTTTTCCGTATTTTACCATTATTTCAATGCATCTTATGTCAATGTAGGAAGTTTATCAAAAATTTTACATAATTCTCAGGCATGGGGAAGTTGATCCCAGCACTTTTCAGGTTAAGGAATTTGTCTTAAAGAAAAAAAAATTAATTTCATAGTGAAAAGATATCCGTATATCGTTGTACTTTATGATCTTTGTAGCCATACATATTTTTTTGTAATTTTAAACACGTCACTTGACAAACAGCTGATGTAAATAAAGTTGCTTTGGCCGAACTCGGCAAAGACCTCATATATATGAGGGTTGTCCCAGAAAACACAAACTTTTTGTATATTTCAGAAACTATTCAACCAGAACTAATAATTTTTTGCAAGTTGTTGGAAAATGATATTTTCAGTATTATGACAAAATATTTTAGGCTTGTGATGTCATTAATATGTAAAAACGGCATTTAAAGGGTGTTAAATATCGGTGGTCTGCACACTGCAGTTTATTGACTTTTAAAAGTAGCATTGTCAATGATTTTTTCTTAATTACCAGGCTATATGGAAATATAATGTCACAAACTTTAACTCCATAAATACTCTTTGATCTAGCTGATATACTTGTGTATGAAAATTCATTAATTTGATATCATTAATGACAAATATATGACGTTATATGCCAAAACACTTTTAATTAGATATTGTTAAAAATGGTGATGTTTAGTGATAATTTGGAGCACAAATTATTAAGCAGCACTGTCTTTAAAACGGGATAGGACTCTTGCCCATACGATGAAAGAGATATTAGTGCTGGAAGTGACATTTTGTAGACCAAAAGAAATGAAGACAAACTGAAAGTCCTGAGCTTTACGTCATAAGCCTAAGCCAAGGCCATTGTTAAACAATGCGAACTGTTACGTTTATTATCGGAATTGAGAAATTGTCTATTGAAAGAATTAATTCCACAATCTTTTAGCAACACACGCCGTATTTGAGATGCATTACTTGGTAAATAAAATAAAATTAAATACTGTGCCGAATTTATGCTTAAATAAACTAATTTTATCAGAAGCACATTTCCAGAAAAAATTCACAAAAATGTTGATCATGATTTATGCCAATTTTTAACTTTACAGTATTAGTGAAACAAAAGATATTGAAAATGTTCACGTATTTCTGGGACAACCCTCCTACATATGCAAATAGTAGAATTCCCATTAATCAAAACTCATGCTGTAAAAAAAAAAAAAAATCAACACTATATTTATTTTCTCGGAATATTTTTAGGCGTATTATTTCCTGTGGGCATCCTTAACCTTGCTGCGTAATATTTTTTATTTGGATTTTCATATCTTTACAACAAATTGCAGAGTTTCATGTCTCACTAGGATGACAATTTTTTAGAGTAAAGAATAACATAATTTTCTTGCACTCTAAAATATGTACGATAATTGAACAATATCATGCAGTGGCAGGGATTTTTATTACTCTTGCAAATTTATGAAACAAAAATTATTTTTGGAAAAATACATTGTGATTCGTATATTGTGACTACTATATTGTGATTGTTGCATAAAACCTGTATTGTTCCTGCAGTCCTAATATTTCATCATATATGTTATTTTGTTTATATGTAACTTTAAACTTTTTATTTATGGTTTTCATTATCATTTTACAAGCATTGATGCATCTGACAGCTTCCAAAGGCTTGGAAAGTACGTTAATGATGCAGCTATAGACAACCCCATCTTATGCATGTTATGAGAAGTTAAAAGTGTTTAACAACTACTCCAGGCTTTTTCTTTGCAAGAAGGGATATTGATAGAGGGAAGGAGATCAGATATGACTATGGTGATCCCATGCCCAATGGACAATCTTCCTTGGAGTTCATCACTCATCAGGTAAATATTTAGAATAATGGATTTTCAAATTTGATACGCTGCATCCTCTTTGTAGTGCATTTTTTTTTCAATGTTCTTGAGAGGTCAAGAGATGAAAAATGTTTTACCCAACAGTGTTCCAAGTAACACTTACTTTCAGGTCACTAAATGAGGACCTGAAAAAAATTTTGGCCACCATTTCAGAATATTTCACTTGCCATAATGAAAATATTTTGTGAATAACACTAGTAAAACAAGGAACTAACACCCTGTATGTTTTATGTCTTTACTAAATCAAAGATGTAAGGTATTACTGTGACTATAAACAATTTGCTAGGTTTAAGGAAATATTTTTATTAATACAACCACCCTTATGGTTGTACATTACACAGAGGAACACAAGGAGACTGATACTAGAATTAAAATTTATTCAAAAGAAAATACCAAGTTTGACACTTATTGAGACAGGACTTTGCCAGCTGTTTGTGATGTTTACTTTTTATTACATAGTACGTACCTAACCCATTAAACAGTCATTATTAATGCTGCCAAAACGCTTAATTAGTTGTAATATGCAAGTAATTGACCAAATGTTTCAATAACAAGGTCAGGTTCTAAAAAGTTTATGACGTTTGGATGCCATTCTGTCAGGGACGTATAGTATAGGTTCGTGGTTCCATCAAACTGTATAAGTAGTCACTATTAAAGCATGCTGTCATAACATTACGACTTGATGATTAATGATTTTTTTGCGGACAAACAGACAGATGGACGCACAGGGCAAAAACTATATACCCCCGAATCTACAATTACAAGGGCACTAAAATTGATGTTCAGCAGATGCAAGTTTCTGAAGTTTACATCACGTACATTGAAATATATTAATTTGTAAACTTTTTTTTCCAAGAATAGGAAAATAGCAATTGGTGAAAATGATGAATTAATTAAATTGATGGGGAAAAAACAATATCTTTTTGTGATCCATATTTTAGGTAAGACCAAAAAAAAATAGTCTTGTTTCCTGCTACCAGCCTGAAAAAAAAATAGGGTAGGTAGGTAGGAAAATTATTTTATTTTATATTTTCATTTTATTTTTTTTTTTCGACAACATTTTTTGGATATGAACTAATAAAAGATCAAATTAAACATGTCACAGGTCAATATTGTCTTTTAAAATCAAATTTCATGTCTTTTGACTCAACTCAAGTGGTATTCTATGAAAGTCCACATTTAAAACAATAATTTCATGAAATGCTTGTTTTGTGTTAACACGGAAAACGATTATGGTGACAGGACGATGAAATTCCGGAAATTCTCAATTTTTTTCTTCCAAAATTAAAAAAAAAACAAGACTATTATTTTTTTTTTGGCCTGAATAAAGTAAATTATTGAAAATAATACCTCTAAGACAAGGTTAGAGTGATTATTATTATTGGATTACAAGATCACCTTGATATGAAATATATGGAGATAACGAACAGTATTCAAGCTCAAAAGTCCATTATACAATACAAAATAGGAACAGAGCAAACACGGACCTCCAAACATCAGAGGTGGGATCAGGTGCCATGGAGGAGTGAGCATCCCCTGCCGACCGGTCACACCCGCCGTGTGCTCCTTGTCATGATCGGGAAATAACGGAAAAATCCGTCGACAATTCAGTGTGTAAATAATGGTCTAACAATTAGTATGAAAAACGTCAGTCAGCATTTGACTCAATGATAAATTGTATTTGCTGACAAGGTCATTCTATCGACCATAGAACTTACGAAATGATGACTTTAAACGAGACAGCTGATATTTGATTATATGTACAGGATCACCTCTTTGCCTCATGCTATAATAAATATATTTACCTAGGTTATACATATCCTTAAAGTTCTAAGTATTGAACAATTGCAGTAATTTATATGTATGGATGTCTTTTTTTTTTTTTTTAAGAAATAATTTGCTTTGATAATCTCGATAAACAGGACATACTAGTAGAAAGTGATATTCATCCTTGACACAAGTATGACACAAAAAAACATTTCCAGTGGGCTCTGTTTGCTTTATTATATCCAGTTTCAATAGCTAAAAGGTGTGAAGATAATCTTAACTTTGATATACATTTTTGAAACTTAGTCAGAATTGAATTTCTTAAATAATATGGTAGGTAAAACCCATCAAGTAGATATTTATAGAAAGAACATTTCTGCGAACTTTGAAGTTTAGTATATTTCTTGTTTAGCCTGATCCAAGATCCTTTGATAAATTGTCATAATGGTCCTTACAATTAGGGTCTACCTAATAGGACTTCTCAGTTGATTGTACAATTTACACCTGGGTGACCATTGCCCTTGCTGTTTAGTGTTATATATAAAAAAAAAAAACAGTTTATTTGATACTTTTTATTAATTTATTTTATGTTAAAAACATTTATTTAATAGCATGTTAAATTTCTATTCAAAATGCATCGAAATAGCTTGCATTAAAGGTATCTGAATGTAGTTGCAGGCATAAATATAATCACAATTAATTTTGTTTTGCACATATATTATAGGAAGCATTTTGGAGGCAAACCCTGTTGCAGCATTTCTACATGTTCCACAGATTGTACAGACTAGTCAGGACCTTGTAAATTCACATGTTCAACAGCTTAGGCATTTTAGTACAGGTATGTGTAACTCTTCTGAAATATAGGAGGTTTCAATACAAGACTTGTAGCATAACTTATATTACATTGTCAGTTCTTCTTTGCGTGTTCCTTAGAGTGGATTATTGAGGCAGACCCTGATGGAAAACTTGCACATGTTCCACAAACCAGTGAAGACCATTTTGCAGAATATAAAGTTTTTCCGCAGATAAGCCAAGACCCTAATGGTGTTCATGTGTGTGTGGTTAATTATTTGCTCTGAAGCTGATATGTGGACTGAATATAAAACTGTCTTTTTCTACAGTTAAGTCCATCTTAATCTGAAAATACTACCGGTACATTTTGAATTATGCTTTATTATGCAGAAAAAAAAAAATAATTAGTTTCAAATATAAAAAGTCTGTTGATACACTGCTTTGCAATTCCAAAAGTGATAATGTGATAAGTTTTGATGTGAATATGTGACATGTGCCATTATCAATTTTCATAAATAAAATCAAATACAAAGGCCATTCCAATTTAATATTTTGCTTGTCGGACCCGCACGCTCTTATTTGAACAAAGCTATACAAATAATATTAATTTAAATCTCCTGCACCTGGGAAATTCTGTGCCAGTTTCTGTTTTATTTCCGCTCTATTTTTGATAATTTAAATCTGTTTACTCTACAAATCAGAAAAAAGTAGAAAAAATATAATTGTCACTCAATTTTTTTCATGTTATGCATAAAAATTTTGCGTACAAAAAAGTAATAATATTATTATTTAATCTCTTGCCCGCTCTTACTTTTTTCACCAGATGTGCGACGAACAAGAAATTAAATTCGCGTGGTGAAATTATGTTTTATTAAAACTCATTTATGCAATAAATGATAAATAAAGACTAAACAGTCATGTTCACAAGTCAGAGGTGTTAAAATATATATCTATTCTATAGGAAAAAAAGAATTATAAAGTGACATCAATTTTCAAGTAATGTCTGTCTAGAACCTGTACATCAGATTTCGTATTTTGTGTGATTTTTTGAAGGATTTTTACACTAACAAAGTTAATAAAATCAAATCTTAGTTCTAAAATTTAATAATTTATTTTTAGATTGTCAAAATGCTTGTTAATTATAGTATCAAAGCTTGAATTGTATATCAATATTCTCCAGGAGGTAAATATTTCTATATATTGGTATATTGGTTGTCCCATAGTTTGTGTATAGTTTGTGGGTCATTGTCATATCGGTTCAACTTCTTGGATTGTGGGTCACGGTTATTTATTGTTCTAACATTTTGCAATTTTTTTTCTGTAGTTTGTTTATGTATTTTTGTATCATTTGTGTATATGCATACATGTATATGATTTTTCATGGTTTGTGGATTACTGTCATATTTACATGCATGTGTCTGTTCATGGTGGATTGTGGGTCACTGTCATAGATTGTTTGTTCTTACATTTTTCCTGTAGTTTGTTCATGACTTTTTTATGTCTTTGTGTATAGACATTTGTGTATATGCATACATATATATGAAAATGTTCATGGTTTGTTGATCACTGTCATGTAAATAAGTGTTTGTGTCTGTTCATGGGTTGTGGGTCACTGTCATATATTTTTTCCTGTAGTTTGTTCATGACTTTTTGTGTCTTTGAGTTAAGACATTTGTGTATAGGCATACATATATATATATAAATGTTCATAGTTTGTGGATCACTGTCATATATATACATGTATGTGTCTGTTCATGGATTGTGGGTCACTGTCATAGATTGTTTGTTCTAACATTTTTCCTGTAGTTTGTTCATGACTTTTTGTGTCCTTGAGTTAAGACATTTGTGTATATGCATACATATATATAAAAATGTTCATGGTTTGTTGATCACTGTCATATATACGTGTATGTGTCTGTTCATGGGTTATGGGTCACTGTCATAGATTGTTTGTTGTAATATTTTACCTGTAGTTTGTTCATGACTTTTTTGTGTCATTGAGTTAAGACAGTTGTGTACATGCATACATATATATGAAAATGTTCATGGTTAGTGGATCACTGTCATATATATATAAGTGTTTGTGTCTGGTTCATGGATTGTGGGTCACTGTCATATATTGCTTGTTCTAACATTTTTCCTGTAGTTTGTTCATGACTTTTTGTGCCTTTGAGTAAAGATATTTGTGTATATGCATACATATATATGAAAATGTTCATGCTTTGTTGAACACTGTCATATATACATGTATGTGTTTGTTCATGGATTGTGGGTCACTGTCATAGAATGTTTGTTCAAAACATTGTAGAAGTTTGGTTATGGCAGTTCAATTATGCATGTGTTTATGGTTTCTTGATCACTGAGTAATCATTACTTTCATAGAATGTGATTCACTGTTTTAAGATTTTTTGTATTAGAATGTGTCTGATTATGGTTTTTGGATCAGTATCAGTTTAAATATATGATATAGATATTTGTCTGTTCGTGTTTGTGGGTCACTGTTGTAAAATACTTGATTGTGAATACTATTATGTGTGTTTTCCTCACTTTGAGTAATAAATACATAATCTTTAACTGATAAAAGTGTTACCTTATCAGTGTTATCTTACCCCTGCAAATGAAGAGCCTGGGCCTAAAATAATTTTTTTAAGCTGCCTAGTGACCCACTGAAAATGCACCTGACCCAAACTTTTTCCAGCTATTTTGTATTATTTTTTTTAAGCTTCAAGCTTTCAGGATAGTGAAACTGCATGTTTCATTTTCGATTTTTGGTATTATCAATCAGCGACTTATAACAAGAGGAGCTTATGTTAAGTAAGCCTATTTTTGTTAGTTAAAACATATTTGAAAACTACATTTTTTAGAAAAATAAAAAAAATACCGCCCATTCTAAAAATTTAGGTTGACAACTGCAAACCAAGAATTTTTTAAGCTTGGCCCTGGTATATAGGAATTGCCTTGTCTGTCTGTTTGTGTTATGAGGAGGGATTGCCATGTCATGGCCATAACTTTGAAAAAAGCATTTATATGGCTTCTGCTTATATCTTACACAGAGATGGACATGACCATGGGTTTGTCATGACCTTGACCTTGTATTACTTGAACACAGTCTCCAGAGAAAATATTTTGTGTTATGACTTTTATCAGGTATTATTTAGACAAGGTCACAAGGAGAAAAATGTTGGAATTCTGGTGTGAGTCATAGCTGTATCAGAGAGAAGAATCTAACTAGACACAGAGTTTACTTAAAACCTAATGCTGTGTCAATCAGATCATTTTCATTTGATAAGGGTCGGGGTGGGATGTGATAAACTGTGTGTGGGCCATTTTTGTGTTACAGAAATTTAAGAATCTTATGGACACCATAATTGCTTGTGATTTGAGGGTTAGTCCTGCACCTGACACGAGTCAACTATACGTGCAGAACGTCAGTTTGGGGAATTGTATGGGGGTCATCAACTTTTTTCAAATTGTATTTTTTTTTACCATAATATTCTGAATTCTATTGTCTCTATATTTTTTTAGAGATTTTTTTTTTTGAAAGGGGAAAAATCATGAAATTCAATTGATTTCTTTGACTACTTTAGTTAATTTTCTACTTAGTTAATTAAAGTAGTCAAAGAAATCAATTGAATTTCATGATTTTTTCCCCTTTCAAAAGAAAAAATCTTCAAAAAAATATAGAGACAATAGAATTCAGAATACGGTAGATGTAGAGGTCAAAATGTGACAGAGTATCGCATTTGTCTTAAGGAAAAGGGAGCAATTATGATTTTTCCATACCGTGAAAATTTCTCTCTCTCTCTCTCTCTCTCTCTCTCTCATATTCATCTATCTAACTATTGAGAACATGTACGAAACAATGGTTGACTCATTCATTTAATAGCAAGAAAAATAAACCTTAGTCCTCAGGGCTCTAATTGGCGACTAATTTAGTCGCCGTGGGGCTTAAAATATTTGATTGAAGCCTAAAATTTTCTATAAGTCGCGAAATTGGCGACTATTATAAACTGACTTGGCGATTCTCAAATTTCGGAACTATCAATATTTTCAACCTTTCTTTCTGAAGAGGAGAAAAGATAATTCAAATTTAGCAATGGGCATGCCTTGCGTTTTCTTTGTCAACTTGTTTGTTGTTCTTTTAGTCACGCACTTGTGAACGAAATTTCGCATCGCATCAGTGCACATACTGCTCATGTCAAGTAAAAAATTAATCCTTAGATTTGTCTTAAGACGTGTCTAAGGATATTTTTTAGGACATACATGTATCTTAGGAATATCTTAAGATACGTCTTAGTGTGTAAACCAAAAACGTCATAGGAATATCTTAAGGTCAGACGACGCGTTTCTCAAAAATATATAATATTTCCCAAGAATTTGCCATTGAAGTATTGCTACTTAAACAAGTTTCCTCACCAAAAATTGAGGTACCCTATCAGGCATTTGGGCAAGATACCAGAGGGTGATATTTCCTATATAATCCATATAGGTAATCTTTTGAATTGCCAATGTTACAATTACTGGTGTACTTATTTTTAAACATATTGAAAACAATTAAGAAATCACAAGACAATGACAATTATGAATAATTTTTGATATAATACCAAGGTATACAATACAAAACATATAATTGAGTAACGTGTCGTCTGGCCTTAAGTAAAGATGTCTGTAGTTCAATTCTAAGCATTTATCTTTTTTCCTTTTTTTTTTTTTTTTTTTTTTTTTTTTTTTTTTTTTTGAAAACAAGTGTTTCATTAAAATTCCTATTTCTAGATTCCATCATAAGCATGTGCAGATGATCAGGAGGGGGAGGGGTGCTCATGGAGTCACCCCGAGTTTTGAATCAGATTATTTTGATGAGCGTGTCCCCTCCCCCATTGGAAAAAATGCTTGGATTCACGATTGATATCCGAGGTTTTACAGTGTAAAAGGTCAGGGGGTATATTAAAAGTAGCACATGACTGCATCCTCCTATCTCCGCCCCCTTCCGAATAAAAAAAGAACAATTAATTAATTACTGATATTTTTGTTTATATTTTAAAAGGGTTTAATTGAACCTACTTCAGAACGTTTTTACGAAAGCTGGATAGACTCATTTTTGATAAGAAAGAAAAATTACTCGTTATAACGAGATAGTTATCTCGTTATAACGAGTTAGTTATCTCGTTATAACGAGTTGGTATCTCGTTATAATGAGATAATTATCTCGTTAAAACGAGTAAGTTATCTCGTTATAACGAGATAGTTTTCTCGTTATTTCGAGATTTAATAGCAATATAGGAGTAAAAATGGCTGTAGTTTTTAATGCCATTGAATTATTAGCTAGTAATTATCAATCAAATTTAACTTGAACAATTGATAAATGGTTGAAAATTTAATTTGCTCTGGGGTTTACTTATGATTATATCTTGAACTATCTCGTTGTCAATAATCATATTTTGATACGTATAGCAAATCTAAGGCGAACACATTTACACATTAATTCGTGAACGTCTACTCAAATTGTTGCATTAGGATGCGATATTTTTCTTAAAATA